CCGCGCTGGCGGCCGGCGCCGCCGGGTCTGTCTGATGGTCGGGGCCCAGCTCGCTCATGATGCCCAAGACCAGGCTCTAACTGAATTGTTAGGGCCAGTCGGGGGGCTCCATGCAGGCCCCAGAAGGCCTCTGTTGTCACTGACCGTGGCCCGCGAGGCCCTGCAGAGAGGCAGGCCGCAGCGGCCTGGGCGAGTGGCGGCCCAGCGTGTGCGTCTCCGCGGGCAGGCGAGGCTGGCCACCGACCCCTTCCACACTCCGCTGCGACCGGCTGGCAGGGGACACTGCAGGGCTCCCCGGGGCCGCGCCCCTCTCGGGGCAGTGGCTGCTCACCTGGGTAGGCCGAGGCGCGGGAGTTCCTGGGGGGCTGGCTGTACTCGTTCTCCACGTGGACCGCGGGGCTGTCCGCCTGCGACCGGCGGACCGTGGTCGTGTGGTTGCGATGGAAAGACACTGAGCAGAGGCAGGAGACAGCTCGACTTGCTCCTGCGCCCACTCCCCACCCCCTTCCCAACAGCAACCCAGAAGTCTAACTAACGTCCTGTTGGAATAGGTGGCCGGAGCCACGGCACCCCGCGGGTCCTTCCATCAGCCCCCCCGCACCCCGCTTCCCGGAGAGGTTCATACTAGCAGCCGGGAGGCTGCTGGCGCAGCTTGGGGTTGACTGGCCAGGTGACGGGTGGGCGGGGCTTCGCCCACCTCTCAGAGTCCTCCCGCATTAGCCAGCGGGCTTAGCACCCTCGCGAAGGCAGCCGAGGGCCCACATGTTATAGAAAAGATTTGGAAATAGAACCGTCTGGAAGGATTTGGCCCTTGATCTGCGAGGCAGGAGAGCCGGGAGCCTTCCAGAGGGCGCCCGGCCAGGCGCCAGCCCGCCCCACACCTGGCCTTTGAGAGCCGGGGAGGCCCCTGGCCGGCCCTGCTCGCGCTCGCCTGAGCTCTCCCTGCTTTGGGGGTGAACAGGCCACGAAGCCCGCTGAGCTGCTGCTGAGTCCCGGAACGGAGAAGCAGCCTGCTTTCCAGTTAAGCAGCGGCCCCTCCTCCGAGTTCCACGGTGATCCCCAGACACGCAGCCGCTGGCTCGCTGGTCACCACGAGCCCCTCCCTGCCTCCCCCGCGGAAGCTGGCCTGGCTGTGGGAGGACCCGCCTCCCACACTTACTGTTCTGGTTCATCTCCGTGGGGCCGATCCACTGGCGCTGCTTCTTCTGGTGAACTGGGGGACAGACAGGAGAGGACCTCAGGGGGCTGGGGCGCTGAGGGGGAGGGGCAGGGCAGCCAGGCCGGGGGAGGGGCTGCTTCGGGGTGCTGCCCCCTGCAGACTTTGGGTCTGGGTTTTCTGACTGGCTCTGGAGGAGACCCTGTCCTGGGTGGAGCAGGTCCAGTGTCCC